AAGAAATCGAATACACTAACCATCTTCTATGGGTTGTGTGCCCATTTGCAAGTACTCGCTTATATAAAGCCATTAGAACTTATAAGTTACCTGGAGCCCGTAATTGAAAGGAATTGCTGCACTGTGTCCCGCTGCCCTCTTCCCAGCTTGTTCTGCCCTGCAAATAACGCCTCAAATTAATCAATTTCATATCACCGGGAGCGGGAGAAGAGAAAAAAAAAAATTCTTTTTTACTCAGTTCAGGTATATCTTTGCCCAAACGAGCAGTAAAACATTAAACATCTAATTTCAATGATAAACAATTAAAGACTGATGAATGTTAATACTACTGCTAGCAGAAAAGAATCTTTAGTTGAAATTTTAACTATTAGAACCTTTAATAGATAGAGTTTTTGATGCTGCAGCCTGCAATGCCAAGAATAATGCACAGCAGAATAATGCCCCCGGCGGACGGAGGAAACTCAGGCGGAGCAGTGGAGGAAACGGCGCAGTTGAGGCGGACTGGAGACTTGGGAATTGAAGTCGTTTTACACTTTACTGTTTTAGGTTAATTTTATAAAAAAAAAACCAAAAAAAATGGGCCCTCAAAAATTCTGTCAGGTCCGGCTCTGGGTTCTGGTGGGCAGCCGCAGGTGGTGTTGGCTTTTGGAGACGCTTCGTGTTTTTCAATTTTTTTCCTTTCTGATTCTATTATACAATTACCTTTAGTACATGTCCTGATTATTTCCCTGTTTTACCTTGAANAATACACTAACCATCTTCTATCGGTCTGCCGATTTGCAAGTACTCACTTATATTAAGCCATTAGAACTTATAAGTTACCTGGAGCCCGTAATTGAAAGGAATTGCTGCACTTTGTCCCGCTGCCCTCTTCCCAGCTTGTTCTGCCCTGCAAATAACGCCTCAAATTAATCAATTTCATATCACCGGGAACGGGAGAAGAGAAAAAAAAATTCTTTTTTACTGAGTTCAGGTATATCTTTGCCCAAACGAGCAGTAAAACATTAAACATCTAATTTCAATGACAAACAATTAAAGACTGATGAATGTTAATACTACTGCTAGCAGAAAAGAATCTTTAGTTGAAATTTTAACAATTAGAACCTTTAATAGATAGAGTTTTTGATGCTGCAGCCTGCAATGCCAAGAATAATGCACAGCAGAATAATGCCCACGGCGGACGGAGGAAACTCAGGCGGAGCAGTGGAGAAAACGGCGCAGTTGAGGCGGACTGGAGACTTGGGAGTTGAAGTCGTTTTACACTTTACTGTTTTAGGTTAATTTTATCTAAAAAAACCAAAAAAAATGGGCCCTCAAAAATTCTGTCAGGTCCGGCTCTGGGTTCTAGTCGACAGCCGCAGGTGGTATTGGCTTTTGGAGAGGCTTCGTGTTTTCCTTTCTGATTCTATTTTTCTTTTGTTTTCTTCTTTCTTTTACATTTCGCTTAATTGCAACTTCCATCCCAATGTTTATCCTATTTTTACTTTTACCCTTAAACTTTGTTTCTTAACACTTTTGACGATTTCTGATGGTAAAAGTAACACGAGGTCACAATTCGTTAATTCACACGCGAAAATCGATGCATAACCAAAACTTAAAACAATTTTGCAATATTTAATTTAAATAAAATATAATAAACCAGCACATAAGTAGGTGAGCGGCTTCTGATAAAAAGTAAAAAACAGAACATAATGTATTCAAGTCATATTGCATCACTAGTCCCTCAATTCTTATTAAAATGATTATTAAGTCCTACATAAAAAATTGATAATAAACAAAAAATGATAATTAGAATAAAATAAGAAAATATGCTTCATTTTTAGAATGAATCAATTTTATGGTCTTTTAAAATATTTGTCTTTTAAGATAATTGTATACACTTAAAATAAGTAAATTTTAATCTAGCATCTGGTTCATAAACGATTTATAAATATGAGTCAAACGTAATCTCATATTAATCCCTAATAGTTGTGTGTACTGCAAAAATGTGTGAAAAGTATACGATAAGAATAGACGGTAACTATAACATTTATTTATAAGTTATAAAAAAAATTATAATTTTCCACACATTAATCGCAACCATCTTTTTAGCCCCTATTTGATCCACATGCTTTCCAAAATTCGTTCTTTTAACGTTCATTTTCAACCATACATTTTTCAATAAAATAATATTACACACAAGTCCAAAACTTTTTTTCTTTTTTTTAACTACATATTTTTCATCACATCACATCATAAAATATATTTTCTTCTTAATAATGTGCATCAAACACCCCTTATTGTGTCACTTGAGAATTCGAGCTAACCTTTACAATTACCTTAGTACATGTCCCGATTATTTCCCTGTTTTACCTTGAAAATTGGTGTCAAAACGGGTAGAACAGAATCCGTCAACATCATACACTAGCCCAAGCCCAATTTGAGTCTAAACCAACCCATAAAATAGAAGATCCTCATCAATTACATATGGCAATGGAGTGGGATAGGGGAAACATTCTCATCCTCGTCTTGTCGAAAAAATTTTGAAGGTTAGGAGAGAGAGATTAAAATATCTCCCTCTATCGTCCCATTTTGATTAATTAATTATTTATTTGGTATTAGTTTTATTTTTATGTAAATGATAAAAATTGGAAAGTTAGGATGGTGATTATGTACTACATCCCTATTCCATTTACAATTCAAGACGAGGATTTCTTGTCCTATTCGAGATGAAACAAAGAGGGGCCGGCAAGGAACGAAGAACTTTGTGATCACTAGGATGAGATTCAAGATCGTTTCTTGACCCATGACCCCGTGAAATCATAGTTATAAGACCAGATTTGGACATTGACTCAGTCAATGTACTGGGTCATCGGGTTATTGGTCAGATCGGTGGTCGAACTGGTGGGTTATTACTTAAAAATTATCTTAAAAAATTTAAGTATAATTTTTTTTTTTTTTGAGACAATTAAATTTTTCAAGTGATTTGTCACGAGTCGAGTCGAGCCGAGCTGCAAGCCTAAACTTTTTGCTCGAGCTCGGCTCGAGTGAAAATACTTCGAACTTTTTTTTTTGTTCGAGATCAAAAAAATTTAGGCTGGACCCGAGCCTGGTATTTGTGCAATTTATACGTATTTTAAATATTAACATATAAAAAAATTACAGCTAAAATGAAAAAAAAATTAAAAAGAAGTGGTAGACAAGTTTTTTTTTTTTTTTTTTAGG